ATCTTCTGCCCCTTTGTAAGGACACCAGTCACAGGATTAGGACCGATTCTGCTCCCTTTGACCTTACATGAACCTAAGTGGTGGTATCTCCAAAGAGCCCACTGTCAGCCAGGGTCCCACTGGGAGGCACAAGGGTCGTCCATAATGGGGGGAGGTGCATCAGGAGCACCGTCGTGCTGTGTGGGGGGTGGGGGCCTGGCTGGAGAGGGTGGTGGCTCCTGGGTTGTGACATGGTAGGGAGGAGAGGTCAGTAGGGCTGATGGAATAGACAGGGGGGGGTTTGCGAGGGTGGCGACTCCTGGGCTTCCAGTAGGTGCAGCTGGGTTCACCGCTGTGGGGTGGGGGAGCTGAGGGCCGCAGCGTTGCGGTGGTTTTGGAGCAAAGTCAGCACCTCCAACTTAACCAGTGGCCCTGGAGTCATTTCCAACTCATAGCAGCCCCCTGTGTATCAGAATCAGACTGTCTTCATAGAGTCGTTGATGGCTGCCCTGTGTAGCAGAGTCGGACTGTCTTCGTAGAATCGTCACTGGCTGATTCTTCAGATGTGGACTGCCAGGCTTTTCTTCTGAGGTGCGTCTGGGCAGACTTGACCCTCCAACCTTCTGGTTAGCAGCCTAGTGTTCATCATGTGTGCCACCCCAGGCCTCCAGGCAGGTAACCTGCTCTTGTGGAAATAGCTGCTTCCTGTCCTTCCCTGCCCAGGGCCGGCTCTTCCTGTTTATTTCTGGGGAGGGGCTGGGGCGCAGGCTGGGGTGGGTGTGGGGCTAGGACTGCTGCCAGCCCCACCCCAGACACTCACTCAGCAAAGTTCTGGAACCTTCCCAATCATTAGTTAGAGGAGCAGGGAATGGTAACTCTTCCCACGTGTGTACCCTGATCTCTGGTCATCACATGTTCACAGCAGGGGGTGGGGTGGGTCCCCTTCCTCACCCAGACTTCCGCTCTTGGTCAGTTCCTTTTGCAGACCCGACTTAGACCTACAGGCCACCAGCTGTCTGTCAGTGTGTCCTGCCGTGACGGCCTGTGTGACACTGTGATGTTGGAGGCTAGGCCCTGCTATTTCACATCCCAGCAGGGTCCGCATGGTGGACAGGTTTCGGCAGAGCTTCCAGACTCAGGTGGGCTAGGGAGAAAGGCCCGGGAATCTATTTCCAAAATTGGGCCAACGAAGAGCCGCTGGCTCATGAGAGAACGGGTCCAGTGCAGTGCTGGAGAGCGAGTCCCCGGATAGAAGGGCGCTCCAGCCACACAGTGGCCGCCGCAGCGGACCAGAGCGTGCCAACAGCCATGAAGGCGGCACAGCCCGGGCAGCGTCGTCATGCTGGGGCGGCCGTGAGTCGGAACCGACCGGACAGCACCTGACGACAATGGGCCTTCACGTTTCCTAGAGCCTCCATCTCACCTGGACGTCATGGCAGATCCGGAAGCCTTTCCCCAGATTTTGTGAGTGAGTAAAGTGTGGCCCAGAGGAACTCTACGTGGCCCAGGGGCCCAGGCTCCAGTTCTCATCAATGAGCCTTTATTGATCATAGCCAGGGGACGAGGAGCTCTGGT